ACCAAGTGTTCAGAAACATGAAATATAAAATAATTCAAAAAATATATCAGAGATTCATCAGATGTTACAAGGTGTGAGTGCTGCGTAGGGATTTACATAGTATCTCTCTGAGTGTAAGGACGTGGGTGTGGATGATCGTCTTGATGTAGGCACTCGCACCCACGCCTCAAGGATGGTAATGTAAGTGAGTAGGCGAAAACTTATCTTAAATTACTTGAATGCAACCACATTTTTCTTTGATGTTTTTGAACAAGTTACGGTTCTCTAAAAACACTAGTTTTTCGTTGTTTCTGCATTAACCAACTGCTCAGGTTTCAGGAATAAACCAATCAATTGAACATAGAATTTTTGAAACTCTGAGGAAAAATGAAGAAACAACCAGCAGATAAAACTGTCTCAATCTATTGGGCGAACCAACAAGATGAAAGGTTTTGGCGGCGTCTATGTTACGCCGTGCTCTTTCCACCTGTACAAATCATTTGTCGCGCACAACACATTTCTGAAGCTTGCGGAAAATCAAAGTAAACTCGTTTGCTTATTCATCTAGCTAAATCTGATAAAAATTTCCGCTTGTAGACTTCAACAATCATCCCAATGCTCATTCAATGTGGAACTAGGAGCATCTGGGGTAAAATCAATAATCAAAACTCGTTAGACTTTATATAGTATATTAAAATTGAATATTTAGACTAGAGATTATAAGGACTCCAGACGAGAACTTCAAGAACTATCAATACAATACCCTAGAGGAAATGATCAACGGTTTGGACTTTTCATAAACTTGATGGTAAAGCGGGTATGGGTGTACGTGAAACTAGAGTCAAACCCACCCACACCGACACCCTCGCAAGTAAGGTTCTAGGTTTAGACCTAAAGTTTTTGCTAATCAGACTCGTGTCAAAGTCAAAAAAATGATTTGATACACATGAAAATAATCTCCAAATTGGGTTGAATTTGAGTTTATTTTCTTCAAAAAGTAATTTCAATTGATTCTTAAATAATGAGAAAGCAAGGACAATACTCTCTACTTTATCATTACGAACAATTGAGAAAGAATATATTATTATTAAAAAATTTAGAAGATATTTTTCCTCCATCTAGTAATTTATTTAGTAAATAGAATTGTTAAAATAATTCAATAAAATAATGTAATTTAAATAGTTTGATAGAAAATAATTTGAAATAAAAATAAAATTAATTTGAGGCGAAATAAAGATAAAAGTAATAAAATTTATAAATTAAAATGATATTTAATAAAAATTATTTGTTGACTTTCCGATACAGAATCCATCTTGTTGAAAAATCGTTACTTCAGACACACAATTCATGTTCTTATTGGCTTATATATACATTCTTTTCTTTTTAATGTTAATGGTACAGAAAAGATGTAGATGGAGTTGATGGTTCTGTCTTCACCCCTCCCTCACTCACTTGAGAAAAAATATTTCAACCATAAATTAAGATATTTCATGACTTTATAGTGGCTGGTAAAATACTCACACATGTTGGAAACTTTCTTTTATAATTGCTTTTTTGTCCACGTATATTTTTTGAAAGAGAAAAATGAATTTTTTTTTCTATTTATGAACAAGAATTTTCGCTTTGAAAATGTAAGGGGTTTCTCAATTTCACTTGAGGAAAGTTTCCAACATTACAAAAAACATATGTTGTTTTCAGTCTTGAAATCAAATTTTGCATTCGGTTTATAGGCATAGTGACACAAGGAATGAATGATTCATCCTCCAAACATAGGTTTTTTCCAACATACCAACCAATGAAAACAAAGTCATTTCGAAAGCTAACATTTATTATTATTGCATGCTTTGCTCAAGACAGTTACACATAATAATTTTCTTTACTACAGTAAGTCTACTTCCTTGTTTTATATATCTATCTTCTTATTTTACTATATTGATCACCGATCCATGTTTTGTTTTTTTGTTGATGAGTCATGATATATACAGCACACTCTTCCTTGTGAGTACCGTTGATAGTGTTAGATAAACAATACTTACTTGGAAGTAAAAGTAAAATATAAATTAAATAGAAAGTATAAATCTAGGATATATTAAATATGGTCATTATAGATGTCATTTAATTATTAAATGACCTTCATATAAATAAATTTATTTATTATATTTAAACTATAATTAAAATTGAAGATTAATTTAAGATTTATTTTTCTATTGTCGGTTGAATCACTTTATTTTAAGATTAATTATATGTATATGCACCCATTTCTAAAACACGTCTAGCTATGCTCCTTTACTAGTTTTATTTTTCTAATAGTAGAAAGGAATGAGAAGACTGCAATACAAAACAACTGAACCCTCATTTATTCATCTTTTGTTGTAATTTTAGAAAAAGGATAAAGGAAGCAGAGAAATGATTAGATAAATGTGCTACATAGGGATATATATTTAATCTTAATATAAACCGAATGAACTGATAAAAGAGAACGAGATTCATCAATAAGTTTTCATATTATAAATAGGTAAATATTAATTTAACATCCAGTAGTAATTATAATCGATTTATTGATTAATAGAAACTGAACTTAATGATAAATATGAAATTGAATTTATTTAGTAAATGAAATTTCTCTAAAAAATGTTTCATAAATATCAATTCTATTTCAATTTATAATCTATCTTGGTCGCATTGAATAGTGGAGAAATATTGAAATATATAATTATATTTCAGGAGTCAAATCTATCCTATCAATCAAAAAATAGAATCGAATTGGATTCTTATGAATCCAACAAGAGAACTATATCAATAAAAATTTTGTCAAAGGCATTTTTTTTATTCCTTAGGTATCAGATGTAAAAAGAAATAGAAGTTCGTTACGCGTTCCCATGCTGCAAGCCACTTCTATCGCTTTTTTCTTCTTATTTGCGATGCAGGTTAGGGAAATGTTGTAGTGGTATGTACATCTGAAAGGTGTGGGAATTGTTGCCGATGAAAATAATGTCCCACTTTACATCCACATGCTACATTTCTAAAGTATACATGTCAGTCATAATATTCTTTGATCTGAAAGGCATATAATAAGTACAGAACGATAGATATGACTCACAGCGAGTGAAAAAATGGTGGATATTTTTTTTTTGACAGAGAAGAAATAAAAAATAATTTTGCAAATATTATTATCGATATAGTTCTTTTGTATCATTTCTGTAAATTCAATCCATTTGTTTTTGATTCATATCGTAGATGTTACTATTGAAATATATATATATATGTAGAGTATCTCTGCACCTTTCAATACCGAAAATATAGAAGAAAAATGGGATTAAAACTTATGAAATGACCACTGTTCTTACGATTTCATGGTGAAATTATTTGATAATTTTTTTTCCGCTTAAATGCGATTTTATCAGATGCAGAAAGAATATTTTCAAGCTAATGGACTGGTAAGTTCAACAAAAAAATGAATGATTGTATTTGACATAGTTTTTCATCGAGTAGAGATTGTAGCAAAAATATTTCGCTTATTCAATTAAAATCTTTTGATAGTGAAATTCATCAGTAGAAATAAGCATGAGCTAGGACGTGTTTTTACTGGTAAATTTTCATAATTTGAGGAAGTACAAGTATAATTATGCAGCAAAAAAGAGATTATAAAAGAAAGAAAATGGTGAGTGTGGGTATGAGTATGAATGCTACATTGACTGTAGGTGTGCGTGTGGATGTCGATTTTCGTTTCACCCATAGACTCATGCCCATAACCGTATCCTCACCCTACTGTTCTCTAGAAAAACAGGTTTTTCTGTATTTCTCTATTAACTATTATTTTTTTAGGAGAAAGCCAACCAATTGGACTTAGAATTCTTTAAAAGACTTCGAGGAAAAATGGACAAAAACACAGCAAATAAAAATGTCTCCATCTTTTGGTTGCACGAGGTAACGGAAAGGCTTTTGTGTTGTCTATGTTACAGCGTGATCTTCCCACCAATGCAACTCATTTGTTGCGGTTTCCGCATTTGTGAGACTTGCGGAAAATCAAAGTAACATTGTCGGCTTATTTATCTAACTAAATGTAATAAAAATTTCCATTTCTAGACTTCAACAATTATCTCAATGTCCGTGTTGTGCGGAGCCAGGAATACCTACCGTAAAATAAAAATCGAAACTTGTTTTACTTTATATACTATATTAAAATTGAACATTTAGGCGAGATATGATAAAGGGTTCAGACGAGAACTCCAAGACCTACGGATACAATGCCCTAGATGCAATGACAAATGGTTTGGACTTTTCATAGACTTAATGGTAGAGCTTCTCGTATGAATCATTTTTGCCTATAAAAATATGTTTATATTTCAGACGCATTTGACCGAACATTGTGACATTGCATGTGAAAATTGTGAAGAAAAATTCATTTTTCCGCAACAACTTGAGAAGCATCGAGTAGAAAACTGCAAAAGACGAATTGTCTGTTGTCCACTCGATATTCTAGGATGTTCCAAAGAGGTATTTATTACTTGACTACATTATTCTAAAGAACATTCTATCTCGTAAAATTCGATTTTATATTTAAGATTTCTTAATTTTAAACCATTGAATTTATTTTTAAAAGATTGTTTTTGATTTCTTTGGTTTAAATCATTGAGGATTAACAAAGAAACATATTTATATATGTTATGTTTATTTACTTATAGGTGAGGTATGATGAAATATATCAACATTATTTAACTAATCAACATCAGCAATGTCTGATATTGTTTATTAAAAAACTATTTCCAAAAACTTCGCAGAGGCAAGCGCAATTAGTGATACAACCATTCTTTGACGAACAGTATACGCATATGCTAACAGCTTTCATAGAAAGAATTAAGTTAATCGTTCAAGATATAGACCCAATAATACAGAATTGTGCTCGTCTTACTTCAGAACGACAACAACATGAAGCAAAGATTAACGAAGTTCGAGCAGAATCTGTAAAGATTAAAGAATCGTCTGATAAAAACACAAAACTCACAGAGAATTGCCATCAAATGTTGGTTAACATGGATAAACTTCTCGGTAATATGAAGTCTAAGCCGATTGCAGGTCCAAAGCTATTATCATTGGATAATACACATACATGCAAAGTCAATCTTGATTCATTAATTATTGATGGACAAACAGTACAATCTGAACCGGTTCACACATCCCAAAGCGGATACAATTTAGCACTTAGTTTTGGAATATGTGTTGATGAACAGAGTGAAAAGAGTTATCTGTCGATATCATTCATAATTCTACCGGGAGAATTCGACGCTATTTTACCATGGCCTTTTCGATTTCCAATAACAATCAGTATACTTGACTTGAAAGGATCAAAAAAAAATATCAGTCATTCAATTCCATGGGACGCTCGAAAAGTGATCTTTAATAGACCTGCAAGCAATGCAAATGTTTCGTTTCAAATAACACAATTTTGTCTTGTTGACATACTTCGCGCCAATAGCAATACTTATGTACAAGATGGTTTCATCTTTGTACAATTACACATCAATTTTATGGAATCATGTGCGCAACCAACTCCAAATAAAGAATGGTTAAAGACGACACAAGATCCCATCCAGACTAATATTTTAGAAAACATGATGACGAATTGAAGACTTCATTTTATATGATGGAAAGTTCAAAGTTCAGCGGTCAAAGCTGTGAAAATATGAATTTCGAACTAGGCAACTTCAGAAAAATATAATAAAAACCAGAAATTTTGACATAGTCAAGTGTTCACATTACGAAACAAAAAATCTTGAAAACAACTATTGAGAGAAAGAATATTGTAAATAGAAAACAACAAAAACACCGAATGCTTTCGTCGTGTAATATCACTGTAAATATAATAATTAGGCAAACGAGATCGATAATTTCAGTCTCCTTATTCATCCGACTACTACTACATATTTTTGCCGTAGTTCTGGTCAATTCTGCTGATCTTTCTGCAGAAACTTATCAAGATAATCAGGCAAATATGAAACTTGTATCCCAAAATCGAAAGACATCGTACCATAAACGAAATTTTCTTCAACTTTCTCTCAGATGTGGGTGTGGGTCTCCACGGGTGTACGAGGTGAGAGTAGACACCTTCTCATTTATATCCTACACAAATACTTACATCCACACCTGCGCATCCACATACCCTCCACTCAAACACACGCAGACTCAGATCCACTCTCATACCCGGAAGTAAGAGCCAAAAACACGAACGATTCGAGGCTTTTGTTAGTCTCATTGAGGCTCATGTATGGCCAAAAGATAAAGCTGAAAGCTCGGAATTAGTTAAAGTTGTTCCCTCGTAAGCAGCTTTTGCACGCGTGCTTTTCTTGAGTTTCAAACACTTTTATATTCAGCAAAATATTTATCTAAGTATTCTAATGAATGGCGTATACTAGTATAAACCATCTCAACAGTGATGGAAGTATCAGATATTAAAACTACCCATGATATGTAATTGGTGGAACTGTTTTAAAGGCACTTAAACATGATGTTAATTTTAATCCTTTGAGTTCTATAATAGGCACAATGCTGCACATGTTTTATAATTAGTTTTCTACAGCATGATTTATAATAATTGATAGATAACCTCTTGGAATAAAGCTATCGAGAATCAATGAATTCATGGGTAGACGTTCTTTCTATTATAAAAAAATCAAAATTCTTCAAAGAGAATGTTGTAGATTTCTCTCGTATAACCTATTAAAAAGATATGTAGCCATTTGCGAAAAAGATTCTAAAATTTTCTCGAATATTTCTTAAACTTCGTATTCATATGTGATCAGGTTTACTTAAAACCTTATATTGAGTATAAATTACATTTGCACGCACTAAATATTTGTATCATCCGTGTTTCTGTATCTAGATAATTTGATATAATGAGCTGCTTCAACTCTATTCAGCAGATATCATTTGAGACTCAAAGGATTCAATCAGTATGATTACATTCAATGAACTTCTCGTGCCTTTTTAGAATTGTTTTTAGATATTTCACTGATTACGTTTTAACGCAGTTTCGCATTAAATAAAATATTCACATGCATTTATTAGAGTTCTTTACAATTGCAGTCAATTTGAAAACATGCGTCTGCATGCATTTAGAGACTGACAGTTCATAGAAATGCCAAAATCACGTGTGAGGATGGGGAAAGCAAAGATTCACATGCACATCTGTTTTTTAGGCAACAACAATTGTTTTTTATGTCAAAAATCTAACTTTTAATAGAGACATGGCTCAAAATCATAGTGAATTGGGGAGTGCACATTAGAGTATCTAAGCATGCTCGCTCTGAAGAAGTGATTTATTGACGATATTAAACTTTTTCAGAGACCTTTATCATAGTTTTAGCTATTTTAAACTTCTTTGTCTGTTCAATTATAAGAGATACACATAGTTTATCGCTGGTGCAGTCTTAGATTGATCTCTTCGAGTTTAGATGATGCAACATTTGAACAGTTCCACAGGTATGAGCAAATAATATTCAGTTTCGAGTAAGAGAAACTGAAAAACTCTGATTCCGTTATGGTTCTCGGTTTCACTTGTTTTTTGGGATTGCCAAGCTTCATAATACTATAATAAGACAGTGTTTAATAACGTCTATTATGCGTTTGGCGTTTGTGTGTGAAAAAGTATGAAGAAATGAAATGAAATGATATCAATATTTGATGAAAATTGTAGTATAATATATATTGAATAACCGCATATGTGAATATTCAATACAACTTCAAAGGATGATTTCCGCAATTATTATTGATAGACAACTATTAAATTTAGTTTTTTTTTAATATAAAAATAAATAAATTAATAAATTGATCAGGAGAAAGATTCATAATCAATTTTCTATCAAAACAATTATTAATTATTGACAATCGGTACTATTATTTCAAAAACAAAATTATTACTATATGAAAATAATTTGTTTTATTGGCGCTCAGAATTGATAGATAGTTGTTCGCCATATTTCTCATTCACTAAAATATCATAAAAATGTCTGTCAAGTAAGTATTTCTTTTGTTTTTCTGATAATAGTATGGGAATTCTTTCAGTATTGATGATCAACGACCTTCATTCGATAATAAATATGAAAAGAAAAAATTAAATTACGAAGCTGATGATTGGCATCCATTACGTAACGATGTCATATTAGATGTTTATAATTGTGATTTAACAATGATTGTTAAACATGGTTGTCTTCGTGGTGAACCAATGATTGAGAATGGATTATGTTCGCTATGGTCAGGAATACGAGCAACTTATGGAATCGATCAAGGACGTGTAGCTTTTCAAATAAAAGTATTCACTTCAATTATAACTGAAGTGAACTAATTCGTTTTTGTTTTCTTTAGATTCTTCGTTATCTGCATTCTTCTGATTTATTGTATAACGAAATTCCATTTGGGATTCGAGTTGGTTGGTCAACCAATGAGAGTAAATTATCTCTCGGTATTGTTTTTCTTTTCTATGAACTTATACTTTTTTATTTAGCCTACTTTTTGCACTGACTGAATATCTAGTACAATACTTGATACTTTTCATACATTTTACTTCAGTCATCTTGCACTTAGCACCGATATTAAGTGCAAATATTACTGAAGAGAATGCTCTCTTTTCTGACATAATATTTTGAGATTTTTTGTTTTTGATTTTTTCTTCTTCTTTATATATGGCTTCGAGTGTCTTCTGTCCATTGAACATATTTCAATGATTCCCAAATAGCTTTAAAGTCACAAAAATGGAATATATATATATATTATGGATTAAGTTTTGTTGTTACAAAAACGTATTCATTGATTGAGTATTGAAACGCGAACAATATACGAGGCTTCAACGAAGAGTGAAAAATTTTATTAGTTTGAAAAAAATTAGCTTTTTAGAAGAAAAAATTACAGAGTTTGAAATTAATAGAGAACCAACAACAAATATCTAATAAGAGTAGTTCGTATTTATGAGGCGCATGAAACAGTTAATGAATAGCAAATTTTGATTCGTGCATAGAAAAACTATAAATGTTTGTTCTTCTTGATGAAAATATTAGTCTAGATATGGCTGATACAAAATAAAGGTCAAATCAGAACACGAGCGTCCTTCTTATTTTCGTTGGGTATTGGTACGTGTATCTCTTCTCTTGCTTTGAGGAGGAGAGCGGAGATTATGCAGCTAATTTGTTGAAGTCGTGTATTCTTGATAACACGACGCACTTAGCGACGGTGTGACTTGCAACTGTTCATTCAAAACCAGAGAGGTGCTAATATTTGTACTTGTACTGATGTAGTGATTGGTTTTTTGATGATAAATAGGTGATGAATTACTATCTTTTGGATATGAAGGAACAGGAAAAATTTGGACAGGAAATCAATTTGAATGGTATGGCGAACAATATTCAGTTGGTGATATAATAACATGTTATGCAGTTAATCATTATAGATAAATTTGTTTTTTTCTTATAAATAATTTTTGTTGTTTATAAAAGGATTTTGAAAGTGAACGTGGCCATGTTTTATTATCTTTTGCTAAAAATGATTTGAATTTTGAATTAGCATATCGTATTAATTCTGAAGATTTTCATTCACGTCCACTTTTTCCACATATATTCATTAAAAATATTTCATATCAAGTTAACTTTGGTCAATTAAATACAGTTTGAAATAGTTTCATATTTATTGTCAAAATTTTAAAAAAAGATATTTTTCAGAAATATTCTCTTCGACCAGGTTTTTGTTTTATAAATGATTATGAAGAAGATGATCGAATTCGAGGTACATTAGGTCCATCGAGTAAAGAAGAATGCGAAGTAGATAATCTTTTCATTTTTCATTTTATCTATTTATTAATTCATATTCTACATAGGTTATTATGATGGTAGGTTTACCAGGAGCTGGAAAATCATTTTGGGTTGAAAGACATTGTGCAATTAATACAGATAAAAAATATATTCTACTCAGTACAAATAATATCATTCAGCAAATGAAAGTAAATATTAAACAATAAAGAAAAAAGAAGACTTAAAAATTCTTTATGTTTCTATAGATTGATAATTGTGACGGTTCTCATGAAATGATTGATCGAGCAATACAATGTCTTCGAATCATGTTTGATATAGCTGCATGTCGAAAACGAAATTTTATTATTGATCAAGTTTGATTTTATTTAATATGATTTTTTTTAATGTGAAAATTTAGACAAATGTATATGGGAATAATCGTCGTCGTAAAATGTCATTATTTGATGGATTCTATCGACGAGCTGTTGTTGTTATTCCTGATGATAATGAATATCAACGACGAAGATATAAACAACAAATTGATCAAAGCAAATTCATTCCTGATTCATTTATTAACCAAATGAAAGGTTAATATTAAACATTTATATATCAAATATACAGTAAAATAAACTTTTTTTTTTAATTTTAGCTAATTTTGATTTACCTGAAGTAGCTGATAGTAGAAGAATTTTATTTTTCAAAAAGATCTATTATGAAACTAAATTCTTTTCTAGTATTCGACGATGTTGAATATGCTGAATTAACTTTTCGTTATGCTCGTGATCTCGTTATGTATTACCGTCATCAAAGTCACATAATTAAAGAAAGATTAAGAAAACCAAATAGACGAAAAAAGAAAAATAATCTCAGATCTATTCGGTTTAGTTATGATCGACATACGAATAACATTGATTTATCATCCAATCATCATCATTATCATTTTCGTCCATTTCTGTCTCATCCTAAACAATATCATCATTATTTGTCAAAATTTGATCATCATTATTATCGTAATAGTATGCTACATTTTTTCATTTTCTCTAAATCAATCGAATTTTCCTGTTTTTTTTTAAATTATTTTTAGAAAATGGTTCAAAGTGAATGGAATTGACTATGTTATTTTATTCGATAAATCCATTTAATCTAATATATAATATTCTAATAATCATCAAGAAAAGAATTTCTGATATAGAATTGAATGTGAAACATTATCTATGTGTTGTCGCTAATCACAGAAAGATTATTTTATTCTATCGATTCCAGAACACATGTCTTCACCACTATTTTACTTAGTCCTCGAGAAATGCAATAACGTCTATCAGGCTCTGATGTAAAGGATGGGGGCGTTGCAGAGGTGTTCGTCATAGTCTGTGGATAATGCAAATTTCTACCTAATATACTTCAACACTCCTTGTAGACTGTGTTGAACAAAATTAGTCCACTATATAGAAACAAGAAAATATTTCAATAAGAGAAACTTATTACTGAAAGTCTTAATGTATATTTTGTATAGATATATTGGTCATTATATATATGAGTTTTTTTTATAAAGATATATTGCTATAAAATGAACAAATTAATGATATGAAAACATTCTACGGAGATATTTTATAAAAATAGGTAAATGTAATCTGTGTTGTAAATCGATGAACGTTTCTTTTTACATTTCAATACAAAAAAAGATCTATAAAATAAGTTTCAAATTGAAGAAGCCATTCACAAGTAGAGAAGGGTGTCACTATTTGTAGAAATGATCTTAAAATAACTAACTGCGTTTTATTTTTAAAGTTGTTTGTTCTTATTGTACAACTTCTTGCCATTTAAATTTTGTAATGTCTAAACAAGGCCAACTATTTTCAAAACATTTTTAAAAAAAATGTAAGGTTACCCAAATGCGTGCATTATGTATATAAAGCTTTTACGCTGTTATTTTACTATAGTTTTATAGAGACACCTTTTCATCAGCATATTCTCTGTTTAACTATCTATGAAATCGCATCATGTATTCCATTATACAGAGATAATATTGTTTACGATTCTTACTTTTCGCTATAAATGTAAGAAAATACAATAAAATTTTTCGAGAATGTGAGTGTGAGTGTCAAGTCTTGTTCAGTCTCATCCAACTTCAATATATTCTTTGAAGATTTTGGTAGTAATGACTAGGCACATTTGTAACGAAATATGCTAGAATTAAAATTATTTTGATGGACACGAATTTCAGTAGAGAATCGTTAAATATTCTTATCGAATGCAAGAGTAAACTACTATGAATTCTGTATGTGATATTTCTCTACGTTTTCTAAACTATTTTCTTATGTAATAATTAGACATACTCTGAAAGAAATTTTAGAGATAGTTTCAATAAATGATACTTTAATAGTTGCCATTAAACACACGTAATCCATAGTGTAATATCAATCATAAACATAAACAGAAGATGCAATTCAAGGCAAGTATAAATCATTGATTATTATTTCAATTAATAACTGATTGCTTTAGTCAACCGTATATAGCACATAACTCAAAAAAACTTTCATAATAGAATTAACTAATAACCTAGAATAAATAGTAATCTCTGTATTTTCCCAATAGTTTTGTTCACTTGCATAGTTTCAGATTGAATTATCATCGAACAGATTAGACATTTCGTTTTCTAGAAATGTACATACAACAGAATAATATAGAGGTAGAAGCAAAAATTTTCAAGAGTGATACCACAAAAATGAAACATTAACAACTTTCAAGTGTGAAATATAAATTTTTATGTTTGTGTTCTCATGTTGCCTTATACCAACAAAATACACTATGTATTTTATGAACCATAAAAGGCTCCTTCTGCTTCGAGTAACTGAAATGGTAAAAAGAAAATTTTTTAGAAAAAAAATAACCTTAGAGAAAGACTGATGCTTTATGGTTGTCAGTCATTTGGAGCAAAACTGAATAAGAAACTATGAAAGTGGACAGATATATAAAGAAATGACTGAGATTGGCATTTATTCTCAATTGATCATCATATTACTTCAAACAAAAGTGATAGATGATGTAGCAGGTGAGTACAAAATTGAGTTCAGATTGAAATAACGTTTTGTAATTCTTTATTAAAAGATATTGTAAGTGCATAAATGACAAAAAGAATGATTCATGGTTGATATGATTTAATTGTATTTTAAAATTTACTTAATAATAAAGATATATTTTTTCTATATTATAAGCAATAATAAGTTGATTTTATTTATTTTGTGTTAAAAGATAATATATTTTGACAATATTATTTTTTATTTTTTAGCCATAGAAACGTTGAATGATTAGTAAAAATTCAATAGTTAAATAAATGTAAATAAACTGTTTGTTTATAGAGCCCTTTTTTCTAACATATATTTTTTTTAGCTCGAAGACATAAGCACATTAAATAATTGACGAAAGTTTTTGAAAAAATGTTTTTTTTTTAAATATTTATTGAGACGAGCAAGAAGTTGATGTGGGCGTTTTGTAAAAATAAGGATGACGTAAAGATCTAAGGGAAGTAACTGTAATCGAGAGTTCAGGTAAAACATTAAAATTATAATTCATGGTGTTTAATATGACTTTATTTTGTTGATTCTTGTCAACATCGATTAGTTTACCTTATTTATTAAGTTTTATTATCTATTATAGATTTTTTTTGATGAAAATTTTTTAAAAATGAATTCACGTTTTGCAAACTCAACTGAATTTTTGTGTCAACTGTGACGATGATATTTATCTAAAAGATCATTCTTTTTTTTTTTCGTTATTTACAACAATGAGTACGTTTTAAGTGTTGAAATAATCTAGATGGAAGAAAAATATCAATAGTTGTACGAAACGGAATTTCCAAGATATGTGTATATCATGATAACGATTTCGTCTCTAGTGTATCTAATTGACTGAAATAGTTATTCATATTCAAAATGTTATATATAAATAATTAATATTTTTCAAATAAAAAGTTTCAAAACTATTAATTAAAAATATTGAATTTTTTTAAATTTTAATTATTATTTGTAAATACAATAGATAATATTAATGTAAATATGTATAAATGTTTCCATTTATCAACATGTAAATCTATTGATAAATTCAAGAGTTGATGATGTTTTTTATTCGTTTTTTTTTTTATATTCGTAATTCTTTTTCTCGAGGCCTTATTGTTGCCAGTTCTTTTTTATTCGATTCTGTTTGATTAAACAACAATTGAAAACAGACGAATTTCATCCGTCGTGCAATAAGAGACAATACATAGTGACGAGATGAGACGTTGCTAACTGAATAAACCAACCATAAATTAAACATTTTCAAGAGCTTTTTAAATGAAAAAGAAAATAAAAGAATTTATTTCTATTTTCAAATAGAAAAGAAAGTTATATGAGAAACGTTTTTTTTTCTAAAATTGATTGATTATGTGTCTTTGGAGAAATAGTTATGTTTTTCTTCGTTATTTTCTTTTTTAATAAAACAATAATTAGATGAATGAGATTGTTTTTTCTTCTAACATTGAAAAAAAAACATTTAATATTTAAAATTTAGAAATCATGAGCTGTCATAATGTTGAGAAGATTTGATTTTATGATTGTTTATTCTCTATGGCAGACATTTTTCAGAAGAAAAATTGTTCTAGATTAATCGTGCATTTATTTTTCTTGCTTTTGACATCCAAATAATGCAGTTTTTATGTACAGAATTAAATTTCAAATCTCTCACATGTCATTATAGACATTGTGAGCATTTTTCTATTTTTTTTTGTGTGATAAACCATATTTAAATTCTTTTTTGATTTTCGAAACATTGTTAATATTATATTTCTTTTTCATTTTTTTTTAGTGACTTAAGTGATTTATAAAATAAATTTTCTTCTTAAATTTGACATGTCAGAAACAAGTGTTGATTTCGTCATGAATAGACAAAAACATTTACCTCATTATCAACAAACTACTCAATATGATATATTAGCATGGCTCGATACGATTCCTTTATCTCGATCAGTACATAATTTAGAAGTAGACTTTGCTGATGGAATATTAATCGCTGAAATAGTCGCTTATTTTTTTCCTGAATATGTTGAATTAGAAACGTTTCAAGTCGCTCGAAATATGTCACAACGTGCTAAAAATTGGCGTTTATTAAATTCTGATGTCCTACCTAAAATAAGTTTACATGCACCTGGTACTCTTGTATATGATATAACAACTGGAGATAATCGTGCTGTTGAATTATTTCTTCTTCATTTACGTGAAAAAATTGAAGAACATTTAATTCGTACAGGAAGAAAATCACGTTTACAATGGGAAACATGGCGTTCATTTAATGTTGAACGGCATCGTTTACCACAATTATTAGTAACATCACGTACGCCACGACGGACTACTTTTGCACCTGGATATGGACCTCATTCTCGAAATGAAAGGATAATGAATCCATATGCAGTTGCTTTTGATGATGTTTTAAAAGTTAAAGATGAAGAAATTGAAGTTTTACGTGGAAAATTAAAACGTTGTGAAAAAGTTATTCGTGCAAAGGATAAAGAAATTCAAAAATTAGAAGAAAAAATTGAAAAAATGAAACCAAAACGACCTACGCCATAAACTTTATAACAATCAGAATAAAAAAACTTACAAAATTTTTCCCTTTATTTTTCTATAAATACTCTAGGTCAGAAATTATTTTTGTCAAATCCGTCAATGTTATTTTCTTTTCGAGTTTCTCAAAAACAAAAACGCATATCTATATATTCTGGATCTATTTTTATTACAAATGCTTATTCTTTCAAAGATAATTTTCAAACTGTTATAAATTTACTTATGAAGATAAACGTTTTATCTTTGAATATTTGACGAAATCATATCGATGCAGTTTGTTGTCAAACAATTATTTTAACTTTAAATATCGTTTATTTTACTGAATTATGTATTGTTGTGATATTCAAAACTGTGAGTTTTTTTTATAATTTGAATGATGAATTATTTTTATAATATGTTATGAACCACGTATAGAGTGCGTAAAAATACTTTTTCGGAGGATAACACTGTGATTTTAAATAACATCAATAATAAAATTTATACCAAATTAAAGTGTATTGAATA